AATGTATATGTATCAGATCCTGATATTTGACTCTAAGAAATAGATACTCAAATCTGAATCTAAAAACTTAAAAATTCAATATCTTAAACAGGATATTTTCTCCATCCCTAACCTATATGTATATATATTACATACTAGAAGTCTACAAGTATAGGTGATTGGGTAAGAGAAAATCATTGGTTTTGTATAATTTAAAAAATGGCAGATAAAGACAGGTTAGAAAATGATATGATCAACTTTTTTTTTCTTTTAAAATGATTGGAGTAATATCTCACCAACTCTCCATTTTCCTCTGGTCTACTTCACTGTATTTTTAGCGTCTGATTATATTATTATTTAATTGTCGGAAACGTAGAATTTTCTTAGATCGCGAAATACATTTTGGAATTTATTTTTTTCAAACCAAAGGACTAAGATTTGATAATAGGATATAGATATATAGAAATAATAAAACTAAAATAAAAATATCTCTTAACAAAGCCAAGTGAAAAAATAATGAATTAAAGAGCACTATAATTTTTTTGATATGGATATAATAATTTACGAAAACAATAAAACCGAGGGTTGTACATAATGGATTGTATTAGTGATATTATATCGTTATGCCATCATATTTGCCTATTTGGGTTCAAATTTAGAATTGTGTTTGTCTAAGTTACAGAAAAAAGGTAAATAAAGAAAAAATAACAAAATGATTACTTAAGACCTTGTCAACATACTAAAATGAACATACTAGGTTTGCATCAAACATATCGAGGACCATCTCATCTGAAATAAAGTACAAGAAAAATTGACAAATTTCTGGAAATAACACAAATAATTATTAGTAAGCCTTTTGTTTTTGTTTTCATGCGGCATTACTATTTTAATGAATTAAACAAATTAATAATGTAAGATGTGATGTGTTGGCTTGGGAGGGAAAGTCACGTGCTAAGTGAGAAAGAGACAAACATTGTTTACCAAAAAAAAAAAAAGAGACAAACATTGAAGCGCGTGAGGTTATAAACACAAAATAGTCACGTTTTTCTTGTGCTTCTATTACCTTTGGATTATGTGACACGAGGCACCGTAGATTTCACACGCAATTTTAAATTATGCTAATTTTTTTAATCTAGGCATTAAGCTTTAGAAAAGTGATGGGCTCGAGGCCACCTCAATAATTGGAACTTTAATTGATTGATTAGTATATTAAAATACTATAATTTAGTATGAAGATTATAAAAAAGTTAAAACATAAGGTGTAGTAATGTGAACTTGACAAAAAAAAGAAAAGGTGTAATGTGCGTTAAGGTCCACTAAGTTAAATAAACTACGTTTAAAGGAAGACAGGTGGGAACAAAGTCGTAATTAAATGGGTCCGTTTAAAGGTTTACCCTTTTGATTTGTGAGGATTTTCCAAAAATGGTTTGAATTAAGTTTTGTAATGAATAAGAACAAGCAATTTTATTCAATTTTTACAAAAAAGAACAATCAACTTTACTAAAGCATTTAGGCATATGTTTTTTTTATTCACATAATTGATTGATGTACGCATAAGGGAGATTTGTCTACGTGCCCTTAGGCGACCATTTTTCTCTCAAATCACCAAAAAGAAAATATATAACTTTTGTTTTTGGCAACAAATAAATAACATTTAAATTTGGTATAAAGTCTAAATAGTTGTGACAGGACATATATATTTGGTTGGTGTGTTTTATAGTCCGACAAGGTTTCTTGTTTTGTTGTTGTTTTTACATGGATTAAACTTTAATCCAAAAAAAAAAAAAGGATTAAGCTAAGTTGAAATCCAAAATAATTTTTAAAACGATTTTTGTGTTGTCAAACCAAGCGTGATATAGTTTCACATTTAATGAGATTTGTTTTTTTTTGGTCTGGACTAACATTAGTAAATAAAACATAAAACGAAATTACTCGTTCACGACCATTTTATTAGTTCGACAAATCAATGAATAATTTCAAAGTTAGAAGCTTCTTATATTGGTTGTATTATCATATATATATTTTGAATAAAATTAATTAACTTGGTTGGATCACTGAAACACAGGCGTCAAGCAAAAGAAGACAAATTTTTGGTGAATGCGTTTAGAGTTTTGTTACACAACTTTGATCTCAGACAATGACATACTACGTTTGACCACATTTTAATTTGTGCTAATTCACGAAAGATATAATTAAATCATAAAATTATAAAATATAGATTAAAATAGT